CTGGAGAATTGTTTGAAACGTAACAACATTGTGATTTATAAATTTATAAAGTTTTTATTTATATTTGGTTGATAGGTGTGGTTAGATGAGAGTATCTAAACACGGTTGTGACGTTTTAGCTTCGCGTGCATTTTTTAGAATTATTTTGTATTTATTACGTAGCCTGATCTAAACACTCAAGGGTTGGGAGAATTCTCAAAAGTTATGCAAACCCAAGACTTTGTCTCGGGTTTGTAAAACTGTCTCAAATTCTCCTAACACTCCTCATGTTTAGATGAGGCTGTGTAAACACGGAAAAAGTGTTCTATTGCTTAATTGGGGTGGGGATTAAGGCAGTGAGAGAGCTCATACCTCAATGGAAAATTTATCAGTGTTGCCATATTTCAAGGTCTAATGACTCTTGAAAGACAAGTTGAAGTCATGACAGTGCATAGAACACACAAAACAGAATGCCAGCGACCCTCCCAAACCGAGACCTATTCATGTATATCTTCTAAGATACACTGATAAAGTGTTTATTGTTAAGTCTGCAGCGAGAAAGCTTAAAGATAAGAAATACAAGAATTTGCAGCTGTTCATTTCAGATGACTTGTCAAAGACCGTATGTAAGGAGCAAGCAAAGCTGAGGAGGAACTACCTTCCTGCAGTTAAAGCCAGAAGAAACGTGAAGTTTGCTTTCATTCCATGGAGCGTCCCAGCTCAGATTTTTTACAAAGAAGACAGTACAGAGAAGTTGAAGTCCTTTATGCTACCAAAAGAACAATTCAAGGCATTGGTATTATATCGTTTTGAGAATCTGGTGCTCTTTGTTTACTTTGAAAGCGAGCCTAGGTCAGTCTGTATTTGAATGTTATAAAGGGAGGGGAGAGGGTGATCTTGGCGAAAGTGTACAGGCAACCTGGCTACAGAGGTTGTGGTAAGTACACTTTCGCCTAGGTGTATGTTTTGTTTTTGTTTTGTGCTTACAAAATTTCACTTTTCCTGTAGTTTCCAGATTTTGTTGAAGAAGTTCAAATATGTTTTTGAACCTCACAAGGTTATAATAAAAAGTGGAAAAGTGAAAAAAAACATTCTAAAGTAAACAATGATTCATTAATTTAAAACTAATGTTCTATAATAGCACAAAATATTTAAAGTTAAATTATCCAACTTCTACAAAAGAGAGACCTAAACAGATTTTCTACTCTTTAAAGACTGAAATAACTTTCATTATTTTCTGTAAAGTAAACATGGCTGCTTGTTGGAGTTGAGCTCTCAGCATAGGGGCTTCTGCTTCTTGTGAAAGCTCCTTGCTGAGATGAAAAACTGATATTTTGATCATAACCTGGAACTGGAGCCCCCTGAGCTGAATAACCACTGGAATAAAGTTGGGGTAGCACCATCATCATTTGCATTAGGCGCATCTCATGTTGTCAGGCTATTTCATCTTCCTCTTCAAAATATTCAAGTAACTCTTTTGTAGGGTCTTTCTCTATCACATGCTTCATAGTTGCGATTGCCTCCACTGGATCTGTTTTCAACCTTTTCTTTCCCCTTTTCACAGGAACAAATTGCGCTTTAGCTGCCGTATCACCATCTTTACCACTACTGTTGTCATCCTACACATTGATTTCTTCTGAACGGCTGTTTTTATACTAGAGACACATTATCCATCTGGATGAGCTTGGGCAAACACTTTTAATTTGTCTGGTTATGCGTCTCCACTAAAAAGACCAGCACAAGACGAATTTTGCATCTAGATGAACTATCCTTGGTTATGCATCTTGAACGATGCACTATGAAAGATAGTTCGTCTGGACATGTATAAAGATGAGCATCAGACGAAGAACGTAAGAAAAGACCGCGTTATGAGAGCCAGCGGTTATATGCAAAGAAAACAAGATGGCAGATGCAAGCAATAAGGCAGGTGCAAAACTGCGAAATCGACAATGGAGAGAAACAGAGCTCAAGTACTTTGCCTTAGTCCTGCCAGACAAGAAACAAGAGTTTGGTTACAAACTGGACACGCTTGTGACTAGGAGTATTTCTACTCCCCCCTGGATGGGATGTCAGTCCATTGCAGGGTTACCACCAGCATTAAGTTCGCTGTTACCCATTTAAATACACCTGGGTGGAGAGAGGCACTGTGAGAGTAAAGTGTCTTGCCCAAGAACACGACACAATCTCCCTGGCCAGGGCTTGAACCCGGATTGCTTGATCTGGAGATGAGCGCACTAACCATGAGGCCACTGCGCCTCCCACAATTCCTCTATAACCATATCCTTATTTCTTAACTGATCCTCAAGTTCACAGATTTTGCCAGGATAAACTTCATGAAGGGCGTACTCCTCAACCGTGTGCTGAAGCAAGGATTGGATTGTTGCCATGCCTATTGCCATGCTTGGAGTTGTTTGTCATATCCAAAAGGTTCTTGCAGAAACGCATGGATTTTTCTTCTAACTCAGACATACTCATCCTCAGATCGCCTACCACATCAGATATCAAATTGGTTGTCGAGACGGAAGATGCAAACAATAGTTCTTTCACAGACTTCATCATTTGTATTTCTCATTCTCCAAACTTAAGGTTATTTTCAATTACTATCTTCTCTACGGGAATATTAGATGGTTGTGGTTCTTCTAATTTAGCTCACTTTGCAGACGAAACAGATGTGGTACTAGATGCCACAATAGATCTCCCCAGCCTGGAGCCAAATTCTCTTTCTGTTTGATCTTTTGTTTCAGATAAAATCTAATAAATACGAACAATCAGATAATTAACTTTCAATAGAAGTGACAGCCCTTCATTTTGTTACCATACTTCAAGCACTCATATGTTGTACACTAACCTTTTTTCTTCAAATACAATAACTTTTTGTCTTTATGTAAAGTGAATCTATGTTTTCAGTATTGTATTATATGCCTATCCCTAGTTTACTCACCTTGTCGATATTTTCTTCTGCCATTAGAGATGATAATAGCGAGGACTGTGAAGAGCTGGAAGAAACACTTGAAACACTGCTGGAAGCTGCACTGCTCTTAACACCACAAATTCCTTTTGATTTCGAAGTAAAGAAATCCATCATCAATTTAGAATCTGTTGAGAAAATGTTTGCTGCAATTATCACATCAGAAATTGACCAGACACACTGAACAATCACCTACTTAACTTTTTTAAACCCTTCTTTGAAGCAAGAGTTACGAAACCCTCTTCCCCAGTCCCAAACCTGACCTTCTCAGAAACCCCTTCTCTCCAGCTAGGGAAAAGAATTGCATTTGTACATACCTTGTCAATGCCTTGTTATTATGTAAGAAAGAATAGCTCTAAAGAAAACTTCGTCCTATCTATTTTTTCAATCTCTCTACTTGGAGTAATTAACAAATGTGCCTTCAATCACAACATTAAACCGATGTTGTAATTAAAATTTTGATTACCATCAAGGTGTTGTACATGAAGTAATATGCACGTGTAATCAGATGCATCAGCACATTCTATCACATCAGCACGCACTATGTATGCATAATGAGTATGTATAATGTACTTACTTGAATAAATCATTCGATCATTTACACAGCAACGTGTAACATGGTGGCAGCTGGTTAAGCCATTTTAAAGTGTTTTAAAGCATCATGGCTTCGCCTACCTCTCCATTCCCATCTCTGAAAACGACGGGCGATGATAAACATGACATGGAAGTGTACATCGAAGATTTAGTGGATTATTGTGTTATGCAGAACTGGTATGACCCAGTAACGGAAAGTGACGAACAGAAATGGACTAAACCGGACAATGCGATGGCCTGCCTTTGAGCATCTCTGTCTCCGGCAGCGAGATCGATATACAAATAAAGTTTGGGGCTGACTGAAGAGAATCAGAAGAAACCTCACCTAGTTGTGGCTGCGTTGAAAGAACTTTATGGCGCTAGTATCGGGGTTTCTGGCGAACGACCGAAATTTCTCGGCCTCATTCAAGATGAAAGCGAGTCTATCACTTCGTGGGAAACAAGAGTCCGCAACCCGGGTGCACAATGCGAGTACGAGAATTTTGCTGACGAGCTCATGAAAGATCAGTCCATTGCTGGTTTAGCATCCGAAACGCTTTGCATCAAACTGATTGGCAAAGGCCAAGGGCATCAGGACGTCTCGCAAACAAAGGTTACCTTGAAAGAAGTGGTCGAAACTGCGAAATGCTTTGAAGCCTCTACCTATGCCAACCAATTGATGAAGACCGCTAGAGGCAATCAAGAACAGGTGAACTTCACAAGCAAGCCGAAAACTGGAAAAGAAGTTGTGCACTGGCAATTGACACCTTGTTATTGGTGCAATGGCAGCCATCAACAACCTTGCCAACAGCACTGCCCTGCGTACGGCAAGAGACGTAATAAATGCGGAATCATCGGCCATTTGTCTTGCGCTTGCAAAAGCAGACCAAGTCATCAGAAACCACATCAACAGTCGAATTTCGTCGAAAGTGAACCGAGCAAGGAGGCTTTTGCGATTGATGGCGAGAAGATAGCGTGGTCTGACAAGAGGCCTGGAAGAAAATTCTTCACCCATCTTCACTTGATACACGGTGACAAAACGAAAGTTGTGCGAGCTCAGATTGATACCGCATCCACGNACCTTGTTATTGGTGCAATGGCAGCCATCAACAACCTTGCCAACAGCACTGCCCTGCGTACGGCAAGAGATGTAATAAATGCGGAATCATCGGCCATTTGTCTCGCGCTTGTAAAAGGAGACCAAGTCATCAGAAACCACATCAACAGTCGAATTTCGTCGAAAGTGAACTGAGCCAGGAGGCTTTTGCGATCAATGGCGAGAAGATAGCGTGGTCTGACAAGAGGCCTGGGAGAAAATTATTCACCCATCTTCACTTGATACACGGTGACAAAACGAAAGTTGTGCGAGCTCAGATTGATACCACATCCACGTGCAATACTATGCCTGAAAGTTTGTTGCGAAAACTGTTTCCCAGCGCTAAGATTTCAGAGACAAAGACCACAATCAGCACATATGGAGATCAGACTTTGCGGCCAAAGGGTCAGGTAACTCTGTGTTGCGAAAGGAAAGGGAAACTACACCTCTTAGAGTTCCTAGTAGTAGAAGTCCCACAAGGAAAACCACCACTTCTCAGTGGTCGAGATGCACAGGCTCTGCACTATTTAACGATGTATGCAGATGAAACTCATGCAGTTGACAGAGAGGGCACCAATAGCAAGACAGCAATGCCCTGTTCACCTCTCTAACCTGGAACGATTACAAAGGAAGATGTTCTAGAACAGTACGCCAGCGTGTTCAGACCAGGCCACGGAAAACCACTAGGCAGCCCCTTGCATATCAAAATGGACCCTGATGTCACCCCTGTCCACGCCCCAAGGCGTCATGTTCCAGTGGCCAAACTTGACAGAGTCAATGACGAACTAAAGAGGCTCTGTGACGACGGAATCATCAAGCCAGTAATGGAACCTACAGAATGGCTCTCCAATATTCTGGTCAAAGAGAAACCTAATGGAAAGCTGAGGATATGCATAGACCCAAGTCAGATGATCAACAAGGTGATCAAAAGACCGATCTACACCATCCCAACAATCGAAGAGAAGCTACCACTATTGACAAAGGCGAAAGTATTTACTACAGTGGACGTATCGGAAGCCTTCCACACCATCGTATTGGATGACGATTCGTCACTGCTCACCAACTCAGGTTCAAGCGCAACTGCAAAGTGACTGTACAAAGAGACATGTTGTAAGTTTCAGAACTGGTTTTAATGACTGATTAAAGCTCTCAACTGATTGTATGTGATGTCTTTCAAATCACACACAGCGCTGCCTGTGCCGCTTACATTATAATTGTCATAAATTCTCGGCCAATTATTTCATTTAGATTTTAAAATGTTCTATTTGTTAAATTCCCAGTTGGATGAAGTACAGTTGGAACATCTGCTGGACTTCATTGGGACTTCACTCAGCTGGACTCAACTTTACTTGACAGCCACACATCTCAAGTTTTCATTTTACCTCCTGAGCTGACCGTTCTGGAAGCTGAAGCTGAACATTGACAGGGATGTTTATACCACCTCCACCTAGCCATCTTCCTGTTGGATCATCAACTGGAGGTCCTGTCACAGTTCTGGAAAAAGGAGCAAATACAATAATATAATGAGAACAGAACACTGAAATAAAAATGTATGCGTTTTTAATTATTTCATATTTGTTTGCCTGGATTGTTTGTTACAGTTTTAATAAAATAAAATAATTCAGTAACACAGAAATATTTGCATGTAGTGGCCAAAGAGGATCCACAAGCTCAGACTGTAGGTGGCCAAGCTGTCCATGATGGTTCACAGCTTTAAATGCATTTTTGCGTTCTCCCCTCTTCTTGTTTGCAGTGAACACTTTACCGATGGTCATCTCAAAACAGCAAAGATAATAGCCTTTGACGATGCACCTTACATTCAGTAAAGCCTCTACCTGGACATCTTGCATGGACATTGACCTGGAAAGGCAATGATAGGCAAGTGGGTAATTTGAGTACACATACAACAGGGTATATTCTTTGCATTGAGAGGACTTGGTCAGAATTTGTTTTACCAATTTTGTCCCCAGGGCTTCCTAAAAATGGCGAATGATTAAACAGGTAGTGTGCATGACATCTGTTCGAGGTTGCTGAGCCAATCGATGAACAGTTTTTGTGTGGTTATTGATTGGTCATAGATTGGCTGATACCAATCAATACCAATGAACTAATTTTATCAATTGACATCAATTGATTGACTGAATTTCCAATCGTTGGTTTCCATCAGTTGGATACCCTGGGGAGACTGTCTCTCAAGCAGAATGTCTCGAGTCCTTTGTTGATTTTATAGCAACATCTAAAATTCAGAATGATTGTGCTAACATCATCCTTATCAGCCACAATTCTTCCTCTTTTGACACTCCAGTTTTACTTAGAACATTGCTATTCACCACAACTTATTCCTAAAATGAAAGCACTAAACGTTCATTTCCCAGACAGTTACTTTTATTCGGAAGCTCATCAAAGAAAAATGTCAAGCGTTGAAAACAGAGGACAGTTCTTTTGAGAAGACCAATCAAGCAGCTGTCTACAAAGTCATTTTTAAGGCAGATTTTCCAGGTCATGATGCTCTAGGGTACGTCAAAGCACTCAGAAAAATTCTTTTCGTCTCTCCTCTTGGCGCTAATGCTTGCGATATTGTAAACAAGAGCAAAACAACGACGATGGAATCTGCTCTTGAAGAGCTGATTTATGTTGACCTTAGCCAAAATGTGAGAATTAACCCTTCTGTGGTTAACCTTGACTCATTGCAAAAAATGGGCGCCAAAGCACAAATAGTTTAAAAGTGATGGTGAATTAGGCATAGGCACTTGAAAACTGTGTTTGGCCACCTAAAAAAACCTCCATCCACATCAGCATACCTTGTAATCTACAAAAGAGGTGGAGGCAAAAGTTGGCAAACATATCTAGTTAGTAGTTTTAATACAATACTTGAAGCATCGAGCATCAATAATGGAGTTGCTGCTTTAATTGGGGCCTACTACCTGTTTGAGTTTGAGTATCCACTGGAAGCCAGAGGAGCTTATTTGTTTCTGCAGGAGTACCTCTTAAATGACTGTTAACAACAGGCCATCCAAGTAAGCAGCTTCCTTGGTTAAATATCAAACCACTGTTATGTAGACCGACTGGTCTTTGTACAGTAAATCAAAGCTTCAAAGTCTGAGCGAGAGCAAATTGGCTGTCGAAACTCACATTCGAGAACTTGAAATTGATGTAGTTGAGCTGCCACACATTGGCAGCTACACAAGCATGATTTGCAGGAATTGCCACATTCCTGGCCGGAGGAGTGGAGGAAACCATGGCAGTTTGTGTAAATCTCCTCCTTGTCAATCATTTATTTCTTGTGGACAAAAGAAGAAACACCCTGAACAAGAAAAACTCGCTCACCTTGAGAAAGAAATGAAACAAGTCATGTCCCTCATTACGAGTAAGCAACTCCACAACACAGCCATCGCAGCCTATCAGCCCACACCACGAGATAACTAAACTTGTGACAGCACAAACGGTGATAAAAATCAACCGCTTGCGAGAAGAAAACTGCCAATTAAAGGCTGCTTGAGAGATCATGCTCAGTGAGGAAGAAGTATTGAGAGCTACGACAGACATAGATCATCACCAGATACCAACTCTAACTTGTCTCACACGTTAGAGGAGATTCAAAGAATGCAATCATGAATGGATGGATTTATGCGTACATACACATCAAAGAACACACGCCAAGATCAACCAAGGGTATGTACACGAGATGGCAGACCTATCTGCGGCATTTGTGGATGAACCAGTTACTTGAGGGAAAACTGCTTCTCAAGAAACCAGCCGAGGTATCCAAATCAAGGACAACCTGGTAAGCGGAGTAATTCACAATATCCATCACAACATCCACTCATTGCTGTTATTGATTCAGGAACTCCCTGATCCCATAGTAGCCCAGTTTGACCACCAGGCCTCTATTAGACTGCCACCACCTGTTTCAGCGACTCCACCACCAGAAATTGCGATTGCTGTCATTCAGCAAGGCAACACCTCATGTAATCAGCCATCCCATAACCAGCACAACCAAAGAGAGGGAACAGAGCCGCTTTACTATGTTAGACGAAGCCAACCAATATCACCCACACTCATGAGCATACATGTGCCAACAATTAACACTATTGAATCCGCCAAAGTCAGCAGCCCAACCACAATGAAATAAAACTGCGTGCCACAGCTTAAAGTCAAGATGGATCTTGGTGCCTTTACAAGACCTTACACTGAAGACACGTCTACAAGACCCCTCAGACCAATTGACAAACACAAAATTGATGTCCGAATAGAGATTTGTTCCCAAAACAGGCCTAGTGAAACAACAAATGAAACTGTCATGTCTACCGTAACTGAAGGAACTCTTGCAGATAAAACTACATCACTAGAAAGTGACAGTTTAGAACTGGAAATCCAGCAGTTAAGGAGAAGCAAGGGTGTAGCACCAGCCAAGTAAAATGTCTGCTCAAGCCAACAGCAACCCTACACCCATTACAGAAACTAATGAACACAGAAAGGAATACCTACCCTGCAAGAAGCAAAAGTCTTCCTCTTAAACAGGAGCATTGCAACCCCTTCATAACAGCAGAAATACTTGATTACCCTGTAGTTGATTTAGGAGCTTTTATTTCTGTAATTCATGCTGAATTCGTAAAAGAAGCATTCTTCCAAGAGACCACCCCCATCATGGCTCCAAGCACTTATCCCAGAGTGGATACAGTCAGCTGTGAGAAACTGCCACCAATTGGGAAGATCGACACCACCTTATCATTCGGTGGCAGGAAGATTCCCTGTCAGTTCCATGTTGTACAAAACATGACTACCAACGCTGCGCTTGGTGGAGATTTTCTGTCCACAAATGGCGCTATCATAAACTTTGCAGACGAAACCCTGAACCTGAGTAACTCTCATCCTGTTGAGTTGCCACTTACAGCAATCCGTTCACCACCTATGGCTAATTTCCTGAAAGTTCCAGACCAGTACGACCAGGTCGCTCCTTCTCTCAATAATGGAGAACCAGCACCAATTTGCCCCAAATATTTCTGTTTTTCTGACCGATTTACACAACAGTGTGAGCAGTCAACATTTTCCTTTCTCAAGTTCCTCATCATTCTTCTCTTGATGTAACCTCATGGTCGTGCTGCTACAGAATGTATCATCAGTCAAGATTGGCCACCGAAATCTACCCAGTTTTCCAGACTCCTGGGAGAGCAGATAATTCACATGTCCAGAACAACTCTCTATTGCCTCATGCCCAATCAGGTCAAGTTCCTAATCCAAAGCTCCTGTTTCAACTCATGCATGTCCACACAACCCCTCAACAGTGGTGACCAACAAGTTTCATCAGAAGATGTAGGCTTCCTTTATCAAGCACTACATAGTCAAAGTATATGCCCCTTTCTAGGAGATGGGATGGACTGGTCAATAACCAATCAATGATAAATGGATCAGGAATAAATAATAA